TCAGCAGGATATGTCTGCCCAGGACACCATGTCATATAATTCCGTAGTTGAGATGACATTCTGATCTCAGTTAAAGTCCATTTGTTTAGAAAGGTCTGAATCAGAGCTGACACTAACCAAGCATGTTAGAACTCAAGGAGAGTGTAGCTTTGAAAGGAACACATAGTCAGAGGCCAGTTTCAGCCCTGATTCACCTTTCATGCACAAATGTAACACACAGGTCAGCCTTGAAAGTGTAGTCTGAAGCTGACTGGCCTAGGGAGCATTCCCAGAAAAAGTTGGTTTTGCACGTAAAGCCCCAAATTCTTTCATCTCATGCTTTAGCCAACTTTTGGCTTTGATATCAGTCATAGCAAGAGGTGATGGACACTAATATGTTTCTTACGTAATTATAAAATAATATGTGTCACTTAAAAACCGAAATGTGGTTTAAAAGCTACTGGACTAACTCTTATTTGTGTTCTTTCCTCTGTTTATGCATGCAACCCCTTGACCTCAAAGAGAATTGAAGTAAAGTAGAAAGGGATTCATCTTTTCTCAATAGCTCCAAGCAGAGATATTTTTATTTATGTATGTTCTTTGAATCATTTTCTGAGCATTATTTTTCTTTGACTGACAGCAATACAGGCTGGCTGAATAAGTGTAATATTCTAGAACCTTTTTGCATGGAAAGAGCTTTCCAAATACTTATAAGTAGGTCATTCACTGCTGTCTTGTTAAAGAACACTGTGTGTAGATGTCATCCTCTACTTAAAAAAAAAAGCTTCATGGGAAAAGAGTCTTAACAAGTGGTTTAGCAGCTGTTGTAAAACTGATTCTAGTGCAGTAGAAGTAGCAATGACCTCACCAGATTTGAAATCAGTCAGGATACTAATGCTGACCTCTGTCAAATGATGAAAATGCAGTGACTGGGCACTGTAACAGGACAACATTTGTCCACATGTGAACATCTAAGACACAAAACACAGTAGCAGCAGTGGTGCCATGTCATATGTTGGTTTGTTTCAGCCCTAGGAAAGCAGACAATTCTGTTAGCCGAAAGCTTAGTCAGAGCATGAAGTCTCTATCATAGCACCAGTTAATAATGCAAGCCAGAAGCCTGTGTTGAGTTTCTTGATGTAATTGGTATCTAGGCTGCAAACTCTATATACATTCACATTTGCATTTCAGTGCTACAACTGTTGATTAAATTTTGCGCTTATCTAGATCCTTGTTAAAGATGTATCTTTGATAACTATGCCAGCATCAAAATAGCATGAAATAGCATTTTCTGTCAATCAGAACTGATACAAATGTCTAGTCAAATTGGACTTTCTTTTTTTTTTCCAGATTTGGAGTTTTCTGAATCAGAAGAAAATAATGATTATGAAACTTTGCATCTAGGCAAAGGAGTTGATTTCCTGGCTAATGTGACAAAGCAAAATTTCACAGATACTCCTACTGGTAAAAATATTAATTACCTACAGAAGTTTTTTTTCCTCAAATGTTAAAAAAAATACTAGAAATACTTCTGATCTAGCCTGTATTTATTGCTTTGTTTTGATTTGATGTGTTCTATTAAAAATATATTTGCTTAATATTAATGTTAATAGATAACAAGTTTTGGATATCTGGAGGTATGGAGAGCTGCAAAGTTGTGAGCATGACTGCCTAAACCAGACCTAAAACCACTAATTATTTCTAGCAACAAAAAATGTTATTCTAGAGTTGTCCTACCTCACAAGACCAGTCAATACTAGTCCTTTGGAACTGTTTTCTGCTTGCAATTGAAGCACTTTGTTGTGATAAATTTCATGCTGCTTCTTTCAGGCAGGATTTCTCCTCTTAAATTCCCAAGTCCCTCAGATCCTTACAGGCTCATAGAAGTCACTGAAAAGGGCAGCAGTTTGAGCATTCCTGGAGCATTCATTGGACTTGATTTCCAGCCCTGAAAGGCTCCAAAATATCAGATTGAAAGTTTATCGCCATATATAACAGCAATTATATGAGATGATTTATAAAGTTTTAAAATTTAGTATTTCTCTTTAGCACTTTTGTGTTTGAATTTTCAGCATGCCACTGTATGCTTCATGTGTAACATGGTTCCTACAGTCAAGAAAAATACTTATGTTTATACTCTTTTGGCAGACATGCTGATACAGCCTTTTCACCATTCCGTGACAAATTCTATGTTTGAGGATGTATAAAGACATACAGAAATCGATCCAGAAATAAGTGGGAGGCAAGATGCAGACCTAGACTGATTTTCAAAATTTCTTTTTCTGTTTAAAGACTACAAACTTGATATCTATATTAAAAGGCTCCTGTAGCTTAACTTTTGATGGTTCTGTGGCCTATTTTAGTGCCCTCACACACATCTCATTCTGTTACGGATTTGTGCAGTTTATGCATTTGCATTTTTTTTCCATCTTCTATTTCTTTTTTAAGGGTTTGATTTGAATTTTCTGCAGTGACTTTACATTGTGCTTTATTTTGCTTAAAATTTGCTGACTGATTTCTTCTTTTATTGATTTTAATTTTTGTCTCCAGATATCCCAAACACAATTGCATATTGGATATAATATCCAATTTTTCTCTTTAATAGGAATTCAAAATTACTAGCAATAACCAAGGTAGAAAGAGCAACCTGTGTGCGTATCGGCCTAGCCACACCTGCACCAGCGTGTATCAGCCTATTTTTTTTTTTCCACTGGAGCCATTCTCCTTTTACAAAGCATCTCCCTGTATTACCAAAGAATTATTTTGATTAACTGTATTTGTCACTCATGAACTTTTTTTAGGAATCGATAACCCAGTATTTTCAGCTGATGATGATCAAAGCATCTACATGAAGTTCTCACCATGGTTATCTAGTGAAGATACTGTGGTACCATCACAAAGGGCCCGAGTGCAGATCCCATATTCTCCAAACAACTTCAGACGGCTCACTCCATTTCGGCTCAGCAATAAATCAATAGATTCCTTCCTGCTAGCAGATGGCCCAGAGGACCGACCCAGATCTTTTCTCCCAGAATCAACACATATGTAATATTTTAAAAGATATTACCACCTTTATTTTTAAACAGCCTTCCTATCAACCCTGACTACTGACAAATAAACTTTTCTGATTTTTCTTCTCTCAGAGCATCTCTTTACTTCCTGACCTCTTTGTAAAAATAAACACCTTCTATTTTCCTCCAGCTTGAATAACAAAACATCTTTCTATTTTCCTTCTGCAGAAGACCTGTCCAACTATTTGGGGTCCAATGCCTTGCTATTTTTAAAGGTGATAAGGGTCCTGATCTTTGTTCTGGCTTGAATACTTTACATGCCGAGAAAATAGTATTCTAAATACTAGAATATTGTGCAGCCATTTTCAAAAGGCTCCAGGTTTCTTGGTTAGTCAGTTTTAGATTTGTACCTGAATTCCGTAACAGGAATCAGGTAATTCTGATTCAAACCCTGTAAACAGTGATTGGTCTTTTCGAGTAACTGCTGTCTGCAGATGTAAGCAAAGTAGTCTGAAGCCCCAGAAAGACAATCCAGTTGCTGATTCCAAAGGATATGTTTTGCCCATGAGAGTAATTTTAACTGTGTTGCATTTGGATGTACAATAGGAGCAGCAGGGCTAGACCAGCAATGATCTCTGGGCTAAGTCTTTTAGTCTTAGCATGATTAGGGTATGATTTTTGACTGTTGCTAAGAAGCCTTGAGTCAGTTCTGAACATTTGTCCAGGTTATTTATCCAGTGCCCAGGAAGAGAAAATGGTCCCGCAATAAAAAAAATGACACTGCTGATGACATCATTAAATTACGTAAGAAAGGGTTTAAAAATGAAGCATGTTTACTAGAATTCATCAGAGTTCCCTTGCACAGGTAGAGATAATTACACAACAGTCAGGCTATGGAGAAGCAGAATTCCAGTTTTAGTTAGAGCTTTATTCTTAAACTGTGAGTTTATCTTTATCCGTACCATGTTTTGAAGCCAGAAAAATGCTTAGCTTTCTGATGCAGTAAGTAACTTGTTGCTTCTAATGTGTTAGAGGCTTAAAATTAAATTGACTTTAGGTTTAAATAAATATCCTAGTTGCCCTTTAATTCTTGCTTTGTGGAAATTTTCCTCACCATAAAAAGCAGCCTTCACTTAGAATTATAGAATCAACACAGCCAGTGCTGTAAATGAGGTGTGTCAGGTCACAGTTCAGAAATCATAACTGAATAGAACATAGGGCACTGTGGGGATTATGCAATGAAATGCAATAGTCAGTTTCATCATGAATTCATCTTTGTGGAATCTGTGATCACAAATGTATGACCTAATATCCTCTGTGCATCAACAAATAAAGGAATGTGGTAAGTTGAAAGTACTTCTGTAGTTAGTGATGAAACTTTGTTCAGACAAAGACCTCAGAATAAGAGTGAATGCTGGTAATTTTTATTTGAGAACAACTTCATAACCTTTTGAAAAGAAATAGAAAAGGCAGTTCCATTTTAATTCTGTTCTGGCTTCTGTCCCTTCAGAACTAGCACTAGTTCAAGTGCAATTACAGGAAGCACATCACTTTCTTTACTGGAGTGGCCTGTAGGTCTGTGATTGGTTCTAGTACTCAGTGCCTTATTAATGCATCTTTGATTATTTTTTAAATTATGTTTTAAAATTAACACTGGATCAATTAAAGAACTGTGAATTAAATTCCAGTATCCTGATTAAAAACATGAACAATGAGCAGCATTCCAAAAGGAAAACTTCTCCTTGCACTTATCCACATTGAAATTATCTTCCCTTTTTTTCCCCACTGAGAACATGGTCATAAAATATTGGCATATGACTTGCTGAACATTTTCTCACTAACCTTTGTTCTTTTCCTCCATTCTATTGCCTTCTTAAAAATTTACTTTATTAGTAGTACTGGTATGTATAAGTTTTTGTGCAGGTATCTTTCATATATCAAAATCACTGGGTTTTTACTGCTATGTTTCTTAAGAAGTGTTTTGGGAAGTTAGATTTCACAAGCTAGTAAGCTTAGACCTTGATCACTCTCTGAAACAGTACTCTGAATTAACTCCTTAAGAAAATTCTCCTAATAGGAGAATGATACTGAAATTTCAAATAAAAGTTTTTTTAAAAAACAATGTAAACTGGAAGGCAAGGGTGGAAATGTGAAGTTTCTCCACATAGTGTAAAGTATACCGAAAACTGACCATAGGCTCTCAATAGGAAATTGACTTGCTGGTGATACTCTCTGATACTTGATTGAAAGAGCACAATTTCTTTCAAAAACTTCTGAAAAATTTCCTTGCTGAGCATCAGGACTGTTTCAAGATAAAGATACACCTTAATGACCAGATGATGGCTCCATCTCCTGAAGATCTGAAACAGACAGTTGCTCATCAGAAACATTGAACTAAGTTTTTCCTGATACTCAGCAAGGTTTTAGGTTATTTAAGATAGAAACTGGGACAGGGTACAGCTCCCCAGCAAAACAGACATCATAAACCACTCACTTCCATAAGACTTCCATAAAAATAGCCAAAAGCAAAGCCCAATAGCCAGTATACTAGTAAAGAAAGTGTGCCTTACAAATGTTTCTATTTAATTATGATTTCTAGGTGATATGGACCATGATGTTGAAATGACAGAATACTCCTCTTCAGATGACCAACTAAACCAAAACCAAAATGTTTCAGTGACTCCCCTCCACTTCTTCCCATCTTGTCTTCAAATGCCTTGGACACATTCTTCATTGGAAAACAGAGGGAATATATCTCTTTCTACTGTCTCTGAGTATATAGCTTCTTGTGACCAAAATGTACCTGATCTCTTCTGGGAAGCAGGTACAGATATGAATAACAAAGAGACAGTAAACTCAGGTTATTGCTCTGAAGTTAGCTACAAGTCAGAGAATTCACAAGAAGAGAATTCTCTACTTATGTTTGAAGGGCTGGAAGACTCTTACATGAAGGAACCCCAAGAGAAGAAAATGTTGCTTGATGTACAAGGAAATTACAGATCTGCTGCAGCCAGGCGTGTACAAAGCCGACGTTCTTTTCACAGGCCAAAACCTCTGCAACACCCTAAGCTTCAGAAGCTAGCATCTCTTCCTGCATCTTGCCATGTCCCTCCACATTCTTTGGAACAAGAGGAAACACAGTTGTGAGCCAGGACTTACTTGAAAGGAGAAGATGAGAGAGAATAACTTGATCAAAGGGCTTCTGTAAAAATAGAGAGCAACCTGTTGGTTCATGTTCTAGAACAGTTTCAGATGGAAAGGGAGTGGGGTCCCCTGATGTCAGAAATACTGGAGCTTTTCTGCTGCACTTACATTTTTAAGTTCTCATTCATGAAGAAAGGGTGCATAGTGAAGGGGAAACATGCCTCCTTGTTATTTTTTCATGTAGACTGTTACAAAAAATCAATACTATTTTTGGAGGGCTAAACCAAGAATCTTTTCAATGATAAATCCTTGTTGTTTTTTTAGATGGAAATGGTTTATTATACTATCATGCCATAAATACATTTAAAGAAATAGGCTGCATTTGCTGCTTCAGTAATGGAATTCAATGTTTATGATGTATGAAATTAATGTAGGAGAAGCCAATGGTTAGCCTCTTGCCTGCTATGTCTACTCTGATTGAAATGGATCAGTGCCTTTTAAAAGTGCAAGCTAAAGAAAAATATTTTCCTGCTCTTGAATATTTGTGTCACTGAGTAATTGTGGGATATTGACTGGTGGAAAACTTCCCAAGGAGAGGAAACTGCTAGCGTCTTGAAATTTAATTAAGGACTCCAGGAAGGCCATTTCCTTCCTTCACCTTCATTTCCTCTACTCAGTAGCACTGGAATGAAAGAACATCCAGAATTAGCTCAGAATTTTGGTTTGTGTGGTCACAGGCAACTCATTTCATATTCTTAATTAAGCTGCTCTATTTTAAATAGCCTCACTCAGACAGAAGTGTAAATATTTGTCATTTTTATTGCTGCTTTGGAAGACACCTTCCAAATACTCTGTTAGATTACCTTGTTAATTTATGTATCACTTTCAATAGCTGATCAGGATAATGGTCTCTCAGATGCTACCTTGTGTTTTGCCACATGGTTTAAGTGCCACAGTGAATCAGGATGTTGATGGTTCAAAGTATTGTACAGAGGTAGTTTGGCTACTGTGTATGTATATACCTGTTTGTGTTAGGAACTTCCTTTATTTTTTTTGTCCTCAATTTTATGTTAAATTATAGTAGTTAAGATTGCACTAGATGCCTATTGTGTATGAATCTGATCCACATCACCTTGAAGACAGCTGGAGACATCAGTGAGAGCCAGCTAAATAAAAGATGAAGACTAAATAAAAGTGAAAACTGAGAATTCTCATGGATTTATAATGCTACATGCTGGCATATAGTCCTCTGGCCTACCTGTATTTTGCCTTGGATGATTCGAGTCCTGAAATTTTAGCTTGAAATCTTCAGTGGTGTAAGTTGCAAAGGTTCTGTGACATCAAGAGAAGATGAGTACTTAGCCACTTCTGTGCATACCTTAAGCTGCATCTTAATGTGTATCTTATTTCTATTTGATATCAGCATATACCATTTGTAAACGAGCTAAGTCATGTGCAGGGAGGTATCTGAATTGCTTAAGACTGGATCCAATGGAGGCTTTATTTGGTAAATTTTACTTTATCTATAGGAATTAGTAGCTGTTTCACTCTATCTACTCAGATTTTGAACGGGTTCAACGTGATTGTGTATCAGATGTCAAATTTGAGATTTAGCCAGACACCCAAAAAGAGCAGAGCAATGTGTGAAAATTCATGCCTATATCTTTTTCCTGTCTTTGTACTCTTTGTTAAATTGCAGAGATGTGATGGAAAAATGTCATATACAAACCTAGGTAGATACATATGTCTTTAGAGACTAGATTCAGAGTACTGGTTCTTTTGACATCAACATATAAGCAGCTGCCTGTTCACACTCATCTTGGGCAAATCAGTGTCCCTAACTGGAAAGCTTCATCACCCAGACCTAGTCTTGTTAATGAGGGTCATGAGACAT